CAGTATTCATAACTTTTTAAATTCAACTCGAAACTTGCAATGTTTGCAACTTGCAAGCACGGGAAATCACTAGTTCAACTATGACGGGAAATGCCATGGTTGAATTAATTATTAATTAATTATTGTATTATAAATTTCAAATGAGAATTTGAAATTAAATTTATTATTATTATTATAATTATAATAATTATTATTATTATAATAATTTATTTACATAAATTATTAATTAATTAATAATTAATTATTAATTCAACCATGGGAAATGCACCTAAGATTCCGCAGTCCGGGAGTTTACAACAGTCAGCTGTCGTCGTTACCCTGTCGTCGCCAGTTATCAACTTCATCCGTCGGTGTGTGCTATGATGTTGTAGTCAGCCTTAAATAAGTCAGGTACTTCAGCGTATGCATTATGGCTGTCCTTCTAATTTTTAATGTATGTCGACAGTATGTGCATTATTAGTGATATTCGTAATTGCTATTCCTGTCTATATATGTATATGTGAGATAATATTGTGACTTTGACCAAAAATTGTTATGATTGGTTGATTCAACATTTCAACTTGATTGCTACCTATTTGCTGTTTTCAAGCAAAAGCCAAAGGTGATATACCTATAGGCTATAGGTCATAGCCATAGGTGAAATAGCTGTCTAACCTGGTTCACCAGACCACCAAATTAGTAAATTCTATTTGGTGTTTAAGTTTTAGAGCACTGAGCACATCTGCACATGCTTATTTAGAATATTTGCATAATTTTCATAAAATTACTGGTAAGTGGTAAAGAAAAGCATAGTGGCAAAGCAGAAAGTTTTTTAGACTCAATCTCAAGTTCATTTGTGAGTCCTATAAGTAGACCAGTAAAGTAGGGTAAACGCGGTATATTCCAACATCGTAGGTAATTCCGTCACCTCTCCAGCTTTTCCTTTATATTAAGCTTTGTTTTAGTTCCATGCGTTTGTTGATGGTTGAAATGGTGACGTCATACATTTGCGCGTCAAACTACTGCCAAAACACTAGGTCTTGGCCATCTAACGGGAAAATATTGAGATCCTAAGAGAGACAATACAATGCACGCTACCCAGTGAAATCATCGAAAAATGTGTCAAATTTGACAGTTGACCTTGCTCTACCAAATAGTGAATAACTGTTTGTATAGGAAGATGGAAGAATATTATGGTTTGAGACTTTTAAATACGTCTGTGAATATATTAGGAATCCTTTAAGTATACTTGTATTTGCTGATTTCAAGTGGTAAATAAATTAATAGATGATTAAGTTGAGAAATGGATTTAGACACATGAAAACTAATTCCGTCACAACTTGAATTGGACACACACAGATCGTTCCAAGCTATGTACAAAAATTAAAATTTGCTTAATTAAAAGCTTAATAGTTGTTAATTAAAATTGTAATTAAGTAGTGTTCAATATTCATTAGTGTTCTAATTCAAAGCCGTGTTGTATTCCAATACAGCTCACACAGCGAACGGAATTCGAACACGTGGATGACAGCATTATGTATCAGTAGAATTTGATTTTGAAGCGCGAACGGAATACGCCTCACCACGTGCCAAATATTGCCACACACAGTGTCCGAATATAGGGATTTGGTAGGTTTGCATTCTAAAGGCTTTTAAATAAATATGGCAACATTTTGTGACGTTTCATTGTTGCTGGCGCGTAGTACGGTGTTTTGCAAGTCACATAAAGCAAACAGAACTTGAGTAACGCATACAGTTTTTTTTATAGTTTTTCATTTCTCGATGCATCCTTAATGTGTCGGAATATACCGCGTTTACCCTACATAAGATATTGATTCAAGTCTTGAGTAAATTAGGAAGAAAAAAATGAACTGATTCTAAAAAAATCTTTGGTTTGCCACTGGCACTATGATTATTATTTCTGGAGCTGGACAGAATTTAAAAAATGATGTGTCAGATATTGCTTATGAGTTATGATCTAGTTGGAAAAAGTCATACTTTTTTCTATTACAGCTCTAATTCTAATATCTTATAATTTTAGTAGGTATGAAATCTAATGGCTCTAATGTTATGTATTTTTGTTTGATTGAAGAAATTGTGGTTCACAATGCAGTCATTTCACAATATTTATAACTTCCACGATTCAGTACCACGCTCCTGCCAAAATATCCTGCATAACAAGTGAACCTAAAACATTTCTTCAGTGATCGCAAACAATGCAAAGTTGCGTACTTGTGGTCATGCCAATCTGCATTATATGATTATAGGTTAAAACTGCATTTATTCTTCAACCAAAATGTAAACAATGCATTGTCACATGTTCAATTGCCTCTTGCCTGTAAAGTAAAGACAAGTGTTCTTGTTGCGGTTTCTAGGGTAAAAATAGATTGGGGTAACACCTGCAAAGGACTTTGCAATTTGCAAATGATTATCAGTTTTACTGTATAATAATATTTTCTATGTCTCTTTTGTAACCTGAATGCCATTTGTACAATGGTGGTAGCGTGGTACCTACCATGGTAGTTTTTGCACAAAGGTCAAATTTAAGCACACAATGATAACAAAGATCAATCAATCATAATGCAAAATAATTACAAGTTGTCCTATAAGCTTACCGATATAGAAGAAATGCTAGATGGCTGCTCATTTGAAGCTTGCAATGGAAAAGGTTGTTGTAATTGCACAATGGCATGTCCATGGATACAGTAATATCACTTCAATAATACGAAAGTGTATGGATAAGGTAATATCAAATTAATAATGGAAAAACAAGTAAAAAATACAGAAAAGTCATTTATTCTACATCTACATCATCTACAAAGGAAGAGGACTTAAGAGTACTGTTAGTAATAGATGAAAACACTCAGTAATAGATGAAAACACTAGTAATAGATGGTGAAATACGCCAGATTCACTTTCATTTTTGTCTGATCCATGGATGGATCAGACAAACACATCTACTGTCAATGACATGGGTGGCCATAGCACTCAGCAGAAATATACCCACTGCACTTATCTTGCTGCTCATAACTAAAAATTGAATAATACTGGTCAGAGCTATGATGTGTAGGATTCAAATACCACATAATAACTACCTATTAAGTTGTTTTGATTATGCTAGAGAGAGGCCATTTAATTTTGTTTATGAAATAAATTAGGTAATATATGGGTCTAATGAAGGCTGGTGACTAATGGCTCTGGTAAGGTTATTTTAATTGTGTAAAGTAAATAATTATGCAATTTAATTCATTGTTGGAGAAGTGGCTTGTAGATATCATAATACCAAGTTCATTAAAAAGTACCGTAATCATTATAGTACTTAAGTGATTTTCAAAAATATGTACCATGCAAAAATGGGCCTTTCTTGAAGAAGTTGCCAAAAAGCCATTGGAATGGTTGAAATTATCAGTAATCATAATCAATTTGATCTCATTTATGAGGGTATTCTTCCCAATTTCCCTGTTTGCGCACAATATATGTTAGTGTTGCTAATTCAGTGCCTAAGTGCCTTGTTACAACTATTGTGGATGGCAGTTGCCATTTAGCAAAAGATTACCAGGGTGCAGAAAGTGAGCTAATATTGACACTCAAGCGTCAAAATCTATGTCTACAGAAGATTGTACCAACACATTCTTCTTTAAATACTACTGTACCTCATTTAATACATTTTTTTGGCATGAACGAATTAGGAAGTTTTGGTAGAAAATTCTTGATAGCACAGACAACATTTTAGGCATAAAAAGACTATCTAAACAAACATAATGGTCAAATTCTGCTTAGTGGTCTATGAATAGAAGGCACTTTATGTTCAAAATGGTCCATCCAGCCGTTCAGGTTGTGTTCTAGTAGTACTTGTCTTGTCAATTTTCAATTCTTCCATCAAGCTAAATTGACCTTCAGTTATTTATACTCATTTTGTTGCTGTCTTGCTGGTCCAACTTGAATGATTGAGCCATCAATCATTCTACCTCAATAGGTAGTAGTATTACATGCTAAGTTTTTCTTGATTATTTGAGATTGGCCATATTGATCATACATTGTAATTTATGGGGAAGTCTGATGGCCACCCCTGTCTATCCTTGCTTGAAATCTTTGGGGAAAAAATTGTTACTGGTTTGACTTATGTTACGCTGTACTTGTTTAACTAAAATATGGTAAATGTGATAGAAATGAATGGTAGGTACAAATCTTGAGTAACAATTGGTCGATTGATTAGGTACAGGTTCAGACCCACGACTCCACATGGATGCCAATTCATGGTATACAGCTGAGGAAAATCTTGCAAACTGAATGCAAAATACAGTCATTCAAACTGAATGATCTTATTTCACAGTCTGGTGGATCATAAAATACTTGGTTTCCATTGGTTAACTTCCATAGTATCTTGGAAGTTGCTATGTACAATATGGTATATCAGACTGAAAAACGGCTGGCCATCTTTGCTCAAAATCTTCTAAAGGCCTAGTATATATATATATATATAGGTAATATAGAGGAAACATGTGTTAAAATATGCATCATTACAGATAAGGGCAAAAAAAATCCCTTAGCTATGTGAAAGAAAGCTTAGTTGAAATAATTTTTATCTTTTAAAATTGAAGATCTAAATTTTGTACAATTTGAAGTACTACCGGTACTGTACATTATTTAAAGCAACAAAGGTCTTCAATATCCAATTTTTACTCTTTAATAATTAATTTATTATAAGTTACCTCCAATTATTCATCTGGCATTATGTCTAGTATTTACAGATCTTTATCATTTTAATTCTGAATATTTATCCTACTACTAAGTTACATTTTTATCTTATTTGTTTTTCTGCACATGGTCTCAGTTTGAACATATTTTGTATCCCCCATTTCTCCTTTTAGATCTACTTAATCAGTCTACTTAATTGATTTATATATTGAACATATTTTTTATTCCCATTTCTCCTTTTAGATCTACTTAATTAGTCTACTTAATTGATGTACTGTACATGTATATATTGAACGTATTTTTTATTCCCATTTCTTCTTTTAGATCTACTTAATTAGTCTACTTAATTGATGTATATAATTATGATATAGCAAGTTTACAATAGCTGGCTCAGCTGTCAGGATGAGCACAATGTTTAGGAGTGGCAGTGGCGAGAACATTGCTGGCATCGTACGCCAAATGTCGCACCCAGCCGTCAGGATCAAGGATGTGGAATTAGAGGCCACCAAGACATCTCATCACTCCTCCTCTACTTCCCTTGTGTGAGTATTAACTTTTGAACTGTTTTGTTCTTCTCATGTACATAAGTGGCTTTCTTTTTGTTGATAGATATTTCTTCTAGGTACTTCCCTTGTGTGAGTATTAACTTTTGAACTGTTTTGTTCTTCTCATGTACATGAGTGGCTTTCTTTTTGTTGATAGATATTAATGGTCTGGAATTCTAATGTTTAGGTATATGCAATTTCAATATCAATCCTAAGCAAAATAATTTTTATTCACAAACTATGCTTAAGATGACTTTCCCAAGTATAATCTACTTCTTGTTGTATTCTATGTTTAGATTTTTGTTTTTCTGTGTCGTCTTTTTTTGTCATACCATATCCATGATGGTGGTGGTTTTCATGTATACATAAGGTAGCAGTGCGATGATGCATTATATATATCGTATGAGAAGTACGGTTACCTACTTACAAATTAAATAGATCCCTCTTGGGTTTGACATGCAAGCTGTGCATATCTGAAAATTTTCATAAAACAACATTTTTATACAATTGAATGAATTTCCAACCCTGCAACATGTTTTGTGTAAAAAGTTAGTAGATTAACTAGTCTATGATAGTGGGCTAATTTGTGTCTTGTATGCTTGGTGGATTGTTTTGTGTGTAGTACAGCTGCTTTATTTTAAATTAATGAATTTTCCTGTTAGAAACCCATTATTATTTCAGCTATCCAGTGAGTTCCATGTTGTGAACTTTCTGCTAATTCTTTTGTCTTTGATGTATTTTTCTGTGTTATTTTCTGAACAATGTATAGAATCGTTATTCAATCTATACTGTATAACTATGGTATAGATAGAATGCTAAAATCTTCCAGTTCTAAAGCGTGTCACTTTGCTACGTTAAAATTGGAGATTTTCAAGAAAGCTGTATAAAAATATACAGCCTTCATTTAGCGACGATTACATGTATTTAATTGAGCTTCTAATCTAAGTAAACTGCGTAGTGCACTGACTTGGAAATATACCTACATGTAATTTTCGCCGCTCTGACTTCATTCGGTTATGAATAGACTTGATCGCTAGCTAGAATCTTCTCAAAAATTCAGACATTAATATTGTGATTACCTATACCCACGTCTACCTGTAAACGATGTAATTTTTTACTGACGAGATGCAATTAATCATCCGAGGCAGTGGATGTTTTTTAACTTAGAGAAATTTGATGATTCATCTCGTGTTGGGATCGATTTCTTGCCCGCAGAAATTAAAACTTTTATCCTATAATCACTTAAGATTTCTCCTTTACACCTCAATACAGACTACACGCTTCTAATTATAGGTACTACAATACTCGCTGCTTGTATAATTCGCGCTGATACTAAGCTATAAGATGATAGTAAATCGTAGCATATACGAGCTTCAGTTTGAAGCTTCTCCTTCTGATTGAGTCGTGGTATCGCAATAATTATTATGCATGCTGCCGGCGGTTGGCACTCATGATATACCTACGCGACTTGCGTCGTACGAGCTTTTTACGGTGACACGATGCAGCGCCAAGTCCTGTGTACTCAGAATTGAGTTCACTTGCGCCAACTATGAGCAGGAAATAAACTGAAAAACGAAATAAAATGACATAAATGCGTGCTGTACGGTCTTGCCAATTATATCACTGAGTAATTTTAAAGCGAATCTAAAATTTGACAGGAATTCGCGTTGGTCCGTTTTTCGTTGTAGTTTGCAGCGAAGAAAAAGTCAGTGTTCACTGTATATATCTCGTAGAACTGCGGCTAAAATTTAGTTATTTTTGATAATACTCTTTTAGTTCGAGCTATCTCTGCTTTCAAATGCCAGGCTTTCGCGGTACGACGAAGCATCGGATATTCGTCGCATGTTTCGATGAGGTGCGTGTGCTGACTTGTTCACTTGCAGCCCCGGCCGCTGCTGCAGTGCAGTATCCGCTCGCCCTGCACGAGATATGACTGAGCTTTATGTGACTGCCCTCAGTCGGGGACTGCTGTTCCTGCCATGTGTTGACGTGTCTATAGTGCTCCCGTGTGTTGACGTGTCTGTAGTGCTCCCGTGTGTTGACGTGTCTATAGTGCTCCCGTGTGTTGACGTGTCTATAGTGCTCCCGTGTGCTGACGTGTCTATAGTGCTCCCGTGTCTATAGTGCTCCCGTGTGTTGACGTGTCTATAGTGCTCCCGTGTGTTGACGTGTGTATAGTATATGTTTAAATCAGATTGAAGATATCACAATTTTCTTACATCGGCTTCGCAGTTTTTGACCTTACCTGATATCAAAAGATGGCGCACGGATCTTGCATGAAGTTCCCTCATGTGGACGAAAAGTTATTGAGTTTTTCAACGAATTCTTTTAGGCCGCAACAGCGACGTGAAGCTAGTGCCTCTAGTCCCTGGCATAAGCAACGAGTTCAATAAATTGTTATTCAGGTGTTATGTAACGCAAAAAAACGTTTTCAGTACTACACTGAAAATTTCGGCTCTTTTTGAGTGTCTGAAAGTGATGCATACCTACTCTAAGTTAGGCAGGAACTTATTATTGTGGAAGTCTGCGTATCGCCGGAGAAACCGTGTGTATAAAGCAATGTTGAATGGCGTAGTGAGTTGCGGGATCGAAGACGGGCTATGCGATGGAAATTCTGATCGAAATCAACATTATGGCCGAGCGGTTGAGAACAGCATGATTGAAGCTGTGAATTGCTTCAAAACCTATCTAGCCGTAAAAATTCAGCGATGTCCTTTAGTATCGGCGTCAGGCCGAATATGGCTAAATCTTCAATCCCGACACTGCGATATAATTATTACTGTAATATTTTCCTTTCAAGTTTATTAGTTTAACTTGGTTTTCACTTTTCAAATAAATTGAGTTTATTCGACGAGTAAAGTTCCCTCGCATAACCCAGTGTTTCCCACGAGATTGCTCCTGCGACTTCACTCACGTAAGCGTCCCACACAGAAATCATATATCCTGTTGCAACGGTTCTGCATAGTCACAACGTCATCATATAAGTTTTGTGTTACTTTTCTGTAAATTATCCTTGTATTGTACTTCTTCAGACTCTTATTCCGATAATGTTATAGCTTCTATAACATTAGTGTTATCTATAGCACTAATGTTATAGAAGGATTATTGTGAAGCGAACTGCGTCGGTTCCTATAAGGTGTTGGCTTACGTGTGGTTTCTTCTCTTTTGTGTGCTAATATAACTTGCGAAAATAAGACGTCAGGCTCACGTTGCTTCACTCTCGCGATTGTGAGAGGTTGCACAAAGCTGATGCTAGCATCGCCTGATCTCTACTCAACTGGTGTAGGAGTTACGTGTCTTATTCTCGTTACTCACGTAGTATTCTTCGTTCGTTATAATTTCATTGTTTTAGAGTTATCGCAGAGTTATTATTGTTTTTATCAGTTCTCGATCCGAGCTAATGAATGATTCGTTATTTTTCTTTGTTTCGGCTTAAGTCAAGTTTTATTTTTTTTAGTATAGTTAGGATTTGGTTTGATTTTCTTCGAAAATTCGCACTAAAGTGGAGTAAGGCACGTGGATAAAATGCATTTCAAAGCGGTGAGCCTTTCGTGCTACTGGTATTGTGCATCGCCGTTCATTGTAGACAAGAACTACCCGAGTTTAACTAGAAATAATGAGAATAAGAATGCTTCGTGAATATTTTAAATGCAGCTTCAATAATAGTTGTTCCAGTCAAGGATATTTTTTCATGAATATAGTTTGTTGTTTCAGGTTGCGTGATTCGGTAGTTTTTTCTCCCATCTCTCTTATTCATTTATTAATTGTATCTAGGTGCTGTATTGTGTAGTCGATCACTTCACCAGTCTTTCGCCCGATTAAAGATTTGAAACTTGCCCATTTATTGGCACGTTTTGTGCATACTTCCCTTTGAATACTGACTAAGTGATTTAATGTTAACATCTGTACATGGTTTGATTGATTCCTGGAAGAAATTAGGCTCTAATCATGGATTGACATTTCACTTGGTCTGAACAAATGGTTCGCTTTGTTCGAACCAATATTTCTAATAGGTAAAAATTGTACAATTATAAGGTTAATTACTTTTAATCAATCGTTAAATAAATCATGGTTCATGAGCATTGAATCACGACAAAGACCCATTGTTGCTTATAATAATTTTTTTCAAATAACGTTAGTTTTCTTGTAATAGTTCCGGTGTACCTCGCATCAGATTCGTGTTGTAATCATGAGAGATCTAATCGTAAGACGGAAGGTAAATATCACCGAAGTGAAGGGTCGCCGCGTGTGGTGATCCCGACGCGAGCTGTCGTAGACATACTACGTATACGGCGCTGTCGATGCAATATCGCAGGTACGGCTGCCAAAACCTTCATTGGAGTTGAGTGAACAGCGGCCGCAATAGAGACCTAAGAATAGACTATACTAATAATGGCACTGACGCGATTCTTATACCGTACATGGTTTAATTTGATGCCGCTACTACTGCATGCCAAAGCTGTGTGTTTGTGGTGGATAATATTTTATATCGATGCGTATGTTATGCTTTATTAGTAAAGATGTTCCTCATAGGTTCGTCGTGTATCATTCCGATGTTCTCCGTAGCTTTGATAGTTCTAATGAAGACAGATGTCTCGAAGGCGGAGACATAGCAGTCTTGTAACCATATTAAGTTGCCCACTCAAAGACAGTCTCTGCGATTACGTCTAAATCAGAGACGTGACTATTTGCGTAATGCCTGTGTTCAAGTGCAGGATTGTTTGCTCAGTACCCTATGCCTTCATTTTTCTTTTTATTGCCTTCTTATTTTTATGCAAAGTTTATTGATTGTGTGTGACGCACTTATGCAACTGAATATTGCTCAATAGCTGGTGTTACTGGCGAAGTTCATTTTTTGTTTTGTGTTAAGAAAATATAAAAAGTTACAGAATATACAACCAAATAAAATTAAGCAAAGTCAGAGTAGGCATATAAAAGGGAATTTGGTAATATTTTGACGGCGTGCGTAGATTAGATGCTACCAGTTCCCGTCGGAA